TGTGTGTGTGTGTGTGTGTGTGTGTGTGTGTGTGTGTGTGTGTGTGTGTGTGTGTGTGTGTGTGCGTGCGCATGAGCTGTATTTCTGCTAGACAGGAAAGTGAGGTTGAAAGGTTGGCCTCCAGCCTCTTTAGATAATCTATTTATGTCTGTCACACTTGATTACGCCCAAACCAAAATAGTTGACTCTTGAATATGTTTATCAAATTGTCAGTCAAACCTCTGGGAGTCCAACTGAWGGCAGATCAAAAGTTACGTGGATTATTAAAACCTGAACTTTTTTAAACATTTACAAAAAGGTTTGTAATTTCACAAGTTAAAATACTAATCTGAAATAGAAGCACGGAGATATTAGGATTTTTGAATAATCTAATAATCTGTGGCGGCAATCTTATTTATGTTCACCTGAGGCTGCTTCACAATTTGTCTCAGGAGGTTGATGATGGAATTCACAAACAYCCTGACAGAGTGAAAAACCTGGAAACATTCAAATGAATCAAAAGAATGATTGCATAATTATTCCTCTGACACTGAGCAAGGTTAACTGTGACAGAGAAACAGTTTCTGTTGACAAAGACCCTTCTCAAACTAATGAATGAATGAATGATGTTATGAAAGGTGGGTGATTATGTAYTTGTCTGTCTGGTAGCAAAATATTTTATGAACCACTGGATGGATTTTAATGAAACAATCTGTAAATAATTACTAAATATACATTTTTTAGTGATTAATTTTTGGAGTAAATCCACTTTAAGATGGCCACGCCAGCCAAGGGATATTAGGAAACACAAAAATGAGCATAACTCAGTTTTTCAGAGAATGTGCTAAAATTAGCTCCTCCAACACACACTATGATAATACAAGATCATGTGAAGTCTCTTTTTTAAACAATGACATTGACTGGAGTCCATCATGTCTGTCTGTTAGCAAAATATCGTGTGAACCATTGGACAGATTTGATTAAAATTTTCAGAAAATAATCATTGGATGTACAACTATAATTTATTAACTTTTAGACTCAACCCAATATAAGATGGCCACCATAGCTAATGAACCTTAACAAACACAAAAATGACTACAGCTCAGTCWGTTTTAGAGATACTGGGCTAAGGTTTGGTGTGGTAGTAGCCGAGAGTCATGCCCACCACATAATCTGAGGGCTAATCTTTGAAACTTTGGTTTGTAGGGTGACTGAAGAATCTTTTGAGAAATGCTAGTTTCTTCTTATAAATGTTTATGTCACATTGCAAAGATTTATTTGCAATGTGCAGTTATTTGGTTCAAAATAAGATTAGTAACACAAGTCAGTGTTTATTCATCATATTCATGTCAATATAACCAAGGCTGTGTTTTTTTTTATCTATTTTAGTACAAAAAAAAAACAGAATAAAAGATTAAGCTTTAGTCATGAGGAAAATCCCCTAAATCTGAATGAGTTTAATAACCTTCCTTTGTATTCTCCCCTAGTTTAAATTACTTGTAGACCATAAACAGAGAGATTACCTAAGTTTCCTCAGAAATAAACACGTTCAGGCTGTGTAAAGACGGGAAAAGTTACACTTCAGGTCTACAGGGAAGGGTTGACAAAAAAAAGCTGAAACAGTTCCATTGAAATCTGTTATCTGTCACACAAATACTTAAAATTCCTCCGGGCTGTTTCACTTTCTCAGCAGTCCTGTCAACTAGTTTTCTGTGTCTAGATCAAAAAAAGTCCCTTATTCGCTCTGCTTGGCGGAATGATTTTTGTTTTCCTTTCCTAAGCAGTAATTAATCCATATATGGAGACTCGGAGTGACGGCCACGCCCTGAACACCTCCGTGTTTGACGGGCTTGCTGCAGCCTGTGGTCGCCCGTRTGGCCCAGCCCTCCGCCGCCAGGAAGTTCAGGAACTCGGTCACCGCCCCAGCCCCCCCCCTCCGCTGCCTCATCCATTGTTGGGCAATAGTCTGCCTCGTCGGAACGGGCTTAACCGAAACTCTTCAGTCACTGGGGAAAAGTGCTGAATATACTTCTTTTGAACGACTTGCGGTGACATTTGAAGAWATTTATTTCGACTGGGAACAACTCGGTGTCGGCAGTGAAACTCTAACGCAAAGCCTGTTGTGTGAGGTAAGGAAAACTTTTCCAGCCAAAGCCAGGATTCCGTTCTTACTTCCTCCATTTTGAACTTTTAAACTCCAGTATTATCTAGCTGGTTGTTGTTGGCGAGTTCACAGCGTTTCCTCGGTATTTCTTTGACAGGGGTTATTTAAGACTTAATTATACAGACAGTGTGTTTTAAAAGAGTTTTAACTCGACAGACGGAAGTTTTTATTCAACTTCAACGCGGACTATAATTGAGCTAAATGTTTGTTTGTCAGTCGGCTAACGTTAGCAGGACAGGGAGGGACGTCCTGTAGCAGGTAACAGGTCAGGCTAAATTGGCTGAAATGAGGAAGTACTTGGTGTATTATTGACGTTTCTATTATGACTGGCATAGACACTGATTTTCATGTTTTCTCAATCGTTCCTTCTAAAACCAGAAAAGAAAATTAAAGAAGCTAGCGACAACAGGTGAGCTACTTCTTGACGTAATAGTTAGCACCGTTAGCACAAGCCAGGTGTTTTCATTGCCTCACATTAACCAGTAATTAAACTTAGTTAAACTTATGTCTTGTGTATTTAAGTCCAACATTCCCATAATGCATTAACTACAATGTTGGAACTTATGTAAATTGTTTTAGTAGTTTATTTAAATGTTTTATAATATTCAAATTAAAAACACGTCGATGAGAGGTGGATTATACGGAAAACAAACCTGTCTTATCAGTTAGTTTTGGTTTCATTTGTTGAGATTTTTTTTAAACTAACTTTTGGAGATGCCACACCCATACTGGATAGGTTAAAAAGTAAATCTCTGCTCTAGTATTTTTGGAACAGTAGACACACCTATCAAAAGTTAGTAGGAAAACACACAGTTCCACTAAAGCACTAACAGGGGAACTAATTTATTGATTAGTGCTTTAGGACAGTGGTTCCCAAACTTTTTTGTCTTCTGACCCACAAAATATCCATGGCAAAACTTGTGACCCCAAATATTACTGGTCTGAGTACATGAACTTTGTTAATAACCCTAAAAACACAGGCTTTTTGACAATCTAAACAGCTTATACACAAATATAAATACTTATTTATACTTTTTTGTGTTTTTGTAATTATTATAGGGAAAATATTACATCAGCAATTATTTTATTACCCTTTAAATTGATTTATGGAGATTATCCAAGGTGCATCATGACCCATAATTGGGTCTCAAGACCAACTTTGGGAACCAAAGTGCAGTGGTTCCCAAACCTTTCAGCTTTTGACCCACAAAATAGTACAAAACAGTAGCAGAGACCTGAGCCCCCAAATATTTTTGGATGATAAACATTTGTATCAGGTCAACTAAACATGGGCATAGTAACAATATTTTTATACTACATTTATCCATTTTAAATATACTAACCTCACTCTGTGTAACAACTACAGCAAAAATGTAATTAATTCAGAAAATCTTTTCAGGACCCCACCTTGATGTTTCGGGACCCCACTTTGGGTCCCGACCCCAACTTTGGGAAACACTGCTTTAGGGCATTAGCTATTTTTAAAAGAGAACATTAGTGGATTAGCACTTGCTAAATTTAAAAGCACTAACTGAGGTCTTTAAATGTTATTGATCAACATTATTGTTCACAGTTGAGGGAGAAAAGCTGTCACACATTTTGTTCATGTGCGTGTCACTTATCTACAGGTCACGTGTCAAACTTAAGGCCCGCGGGCCAAATGTGGCCTGCGGGTGTCTCCTGTTTGTGACAACATTCAGCACACAGTAAATATTGGGCCTCATGCAAGAACATGTTCGTATTCTTATCCTAAATTTCTCTTACTTTTGTTCGTATGAAGGGTTCGTACGAACATGTCACGTCAGATTCAACAAACTCTTCTATCTTCAGGAAAAGTGTGTAAATGAGCTGTGTAAATTCCACCTGTTCGTATCCAGCTGCTCGTGCACGCGAGAGGAGATTAGCTTAATTACCACCCCAAAAACGCCATATAAGGCTGTGTTTCCTACCTCAGCTACAAGGAAGTGTCCATTCATGAAAATGACAGCGAAAACTAAAAAGAAGAACTCTACGAGTTCAGAGATTGAAGTCCGTCTGTCAGAGATCCAGAAAATAACATCTGTCATTTTTAGCAGGTCAGCTGTGGAATAAAAAGAGCTGCTAAAAGTATAAACAACTGTGTTAAATCATTTTCATTTATTCAGAGGCCACACCGTTGTGCACTGCAACACCGAAAATATGTCTGGCACTTTGGAGAAAACCCAGGACTCACTGGAGGGATTATGTATCCCCTCTGGCCTGGGAACGTCTCGGAGTCCCCCAGGACGAGCTGGAAGGTGTCGCTGGGGAGAGCGGGGTCTCTCTCCTGCTGGCCCCGCACCCGATCCCGGATAAGGGGCAGAAAACAGACGGACAATTTATAATGTTAGTCTAAATTATTACATTTAAAATTATAACTCTAATTCAAGCAGAATAGACTATTGTCAACAGAATAATGGAGTGTAATTTAATTTCAACTTAAAATATCTTCAAACTAACAAAATATAAAGTTATTAGGGAGGAAAATCCATCTGGATAACAGCAGACTGACTGCTCGTAAAATATACGACGGGTCTGGACCACTCGTGAATTTTGTTCATATCTGAAAAAAATCTTAGAATACGAAAACATTGGTGAATGCCACAAATTCTCCTAAATYACTCGTACGCACAACTTAAGAACAAATCTGTTCGTACGAACGGTTCTTGCATGAGGCCCATTGTCTCTTGTTGACTCTGAAGAATGTTTCATGTGTCAACTGCATTATATTATGGTGATGATGATGATGCCTTTATTGTCGTTGTACAGAGCACAACGAAACTACATTTAAGAACACATTAATGCTTTAGAATTAGCTTTCGCTGATTTTTTTTCAGTGCTTTAGAATTAGGGCACCTAACTATTTGAGTTAGTCCTTATTTAGATTAGTGCTGCCCACCACTGCACACACACTTGCTTGTATTAAAATTTGCGGTTTGCTCAACATCTCTGCTCTAATGCCATTTAACATTAAATGCGCTATTCTACCGCTATAGACAAGACTTAGTTTTCTTTTCTTCTTTTTTTTAAACTTAACTAGAGCCAAAAGAGTATAAAAATAGTCTTATCTTTCATATATTTAATACACACTTYAGTAGAAACCATTCACATGTTTTGTAGGTTTTTGTTGACAATGTAGGACATTTGCTAGATAAGGCATTGTTTTCACATTACAGCTGACCAACTTTTCAGTCTAAGTCCCTTGGCCTTCAGGGCTTGCTGATTATCCTTGCTAGCTCAATGTTTGATGGCTAATCAATAGAGTTGCAGTCACTGCCTGAAAAGGAAAAAAAAATCGAAATTGGGCCACAGTGTTGTTTGGCAGTCGTTCTCGGAGGGAAGGGTTTTTGGCTCCAACAAGGACTTTTAATATTTTGATTATTGCATAGACTTTCCTGAGGTCAGTCTAAAAATCTTAAAGGATAATTAATTTTTGAGTTTGTTCTTTCTTTTATTTCAGATTAGCTCGAGGGTAACTTCTGTAAATACCAATAGGACTTTTTGTGGTTAGTCAGCATTGGGAGACTAAAAGAAAGAACCGTCGTCTGCAGTAAAAGAAAATGGGTTCATGACCCTCCTTTTTTGCCAATATGACTTGTTATTGGATTACTTTTCTAAAAGGCTTAAGCAAAATGTGTGGCAAGTAATGAATTATCTTGACTTTGATGGAAATAAAAGCAAGTGTTAGAAGCACAAAAAAAAAAAAAAAACA